CGGCAGGCTCAGAGGCCTGCAAGGCAGGTGGGGAATGTTGGTTTCCTCCGTCACTGAAGTAAACAAGCCTCATGTTAGTTTCAAGCTGCCTGGCTGCTGGCTGCCATCTTGGCTGGCAGTTAATTTGCATATCACCCTGATTAGCCAATGGGAAGGGTAGCAGATGTATGCTAATTACCATGTTTCTCTTTTATTAGATAGGATACTCACAGTGAACTGCCCACTGGCTGTTGCTATATAAATGGTATACTGCTTCTCACTGGCTGTATCAAGGTTCATCTGGTTTGATTCTCCTTTGCTTCGAAGTTCTTCTAAAGCTAACCTCACAGCCAGATACTTGGATAAGTGATCAACAGTGGCATTACCAGAAGTCTTTATGTATCTGGAAAAATAGATCATTAGAAATTTCATTTCTAAATTAATAATGAAAATGTAATTAGATTATAGGACTAATACATTTCTATAAAATGTAAATGTCTCTATTACTGATAAAATAGTATCAGAAATTTAATCATCTATTATCTAAAAATTCCTTATTGAAAGTAGACTATCTACCAGGCCACAAAAGAATCCATAAAAATGTGATATAAAATGATAAAAATCCAACAAATATACACAGTACTGAGGAAAAAGAACAAACATCTCAACCCAATGATCAAAGTCCTGCTGTCTACAGCAGCAAGAATATGACCAATTGCTTATTGTTTAAAAATTCATCAATTTTCTGGTATTTAAGACTGAGCATAAAAGTGCTAATCTTGGGGGTTTTTTTAAAGTATGGTATACTCATCAATTACTCACTGAGCAAATATTTGATGTTTATCTGCACTCAATGGCAGGCAGAAAGCTGAGGTACAGTGTCATCCTCTCCAGCAAGAATTCTGGTGTTTATTGGCACCCCAGTATCACTGTTAAGAAATTTAAGTGACCCTTTTTTCTCCCTCCTCTAGGAAGGAGAGTCAGGTCATTCCTTTCAGATATCCAAGTGTGGATGGGAAGCATGGAGGAAGAAAACAACAACCTAGGCATCAAGAATATCCAAATGAACCCTGACAGTCAACTGGATGGCAAATATTGCCCTTCTTTCTTATGCAAAATTGCCTTTAACTCCCAATTAAATTTCCTGAATTCAGATAATCTAAAACTAACCCGCACACTTACCTTGTCTGTGCACTGTCATCTTTTTCCATCAGTGTGGGATGAGGCCTGAACACTAACTCAATTTCACTAGCACCATCCATTACTGGATCAATTGCCACTGTTGCATTATTGTTATCAAGCTCAAGCCCAGAATCATCTGATGTTTTGGTCCGTTTGTTACTGGGCCCTGCTTCCTGATTGCTGTGTGTGGATGCATTACTGCAGTGAGAACTGTCACCATTGTCTTCTGCTCCACTGCCATTTTCAATCTGTTGTTTCTTGCCTCGCTGTAGTCTAGTTAAGAAACAAAAAGGCGTTGCAGAAAATGTACTTAGGCATTTTTAATGAACCCCTTTGAAGCATGTTTACAGAACTTTAGAATTCTAGAAAATTCTAGAAAAGCCCAGTAGGGGGCATGCAGGAGGCAGCCAACAGATGTTTCTCTTTCATCAATGTTTCTATCTTTCCGTAGTCCCTCTCCCTCCCCCCCGCCAAAAAAAGAGAGAAATTAATTTTTTTTAAAAAGAATTGTGTAACTTTAAATACACTCAAAATTTAGTACTTTATAACTATATATGATGAAAGGTAGGTGGGAACTAGAAATATTGGGGGAGGGACACTTTATGAAGTATATTATTGTCTAAACAATATGCTGTATACCTGAAACTAATAATGAAATAATAGTGAATATAAACAGTGATTTAAATTTTTTTAAAAATTATAATACTTTATTTTGCTTTACTAAATACAATTTCAGGTGAGTTTAATGGAGTTTAACCTATAAGCCAGTGGTTAAAAGTTGCTATTTTTTTTTTATAAAAAATTTTTTTTTATTGATTTCAGAATAAGGAAGGGATAGAAACATCAATGATGAACAAGAATCATCCATTGGCTGCCTCCTACATGCTCCCTAGTGGGGATCGAGCCAGCAACTAAGGCATGTGCCCTGACTGGGACTCCAATGGTTACCTCCTGGTTCATGGGCCAAGGCTCAACCACTGAGCAACACTAGCCAGACTAAAGGTTGTACTTTAAAACCACTCCTGAAACCTTAAATAGTGATGCCTGAGTCCAATCAAAGATTCTGATTTAGTTGGTCTAAGGTGTTACCTGACGCCCTAGGATTTAAAAACTTCCCAAGTGACTCTGAAGTTCAGCCAAGGTGAGAACTAGACATGGATGGGACTCTACCGGCATCTCCTACTTTGGAAAATGATGAGGCCTGAATATATTAGATGTCAGAGAGAAAAAGAGAATGGGAGTGAGAAGGTGCCCAAATTATGTAGGGTTTTAGAAGCCAAGGTCTTTTAACCTGAATGTTAATAGAAGTTATTAGAGACCTCAAAGCAAAGGAGAATCATGATTTGACTTTCAATTTAACAGAATCACTCTGGCTGCTGTGCTGAGAATAGATTATGTGGGGGTAAGCGTGGAAAGTATAAAGACCACTCATGAGGATTTTTCAGTACTTCAAATGAAAGATAATGGTGGCCTAGATAGCAAGCGGAATGATGGAGCTGCCATCAACTGAAATGAGCAAGAATGAAGAAAAATAGGGGGTAAGGACAAAAAAGTTCAGTACATGTCTATACATGGTAAGTTTCAGATAAGAAATAGCTAATAAAATACAAAGGGAACCAGGAAAATACGGTCTCCGGAAAGCCAGGAGAAGAAAATTATTCAGAGAAATTAATTTGTAAAATGCTACTAAAGTAAGATGGGGTCTGAGAATCAGCAATTAGATTTCACAATGTTGACACCACTGGTAACTTTTGATAACAGTAATACAAGGAGTTAAAGTCTCATGGAGGGTTCAAAAGGAAATGGAAGAAGTAGAGATAGTGAGCACAGACAACTCTTTTAAGAAGTATTGCTATAAAAAGAAGAGAAATAGAACAGTAGGTAAGTGGAGGGAGAAGTGGGTATAAAAGAGAATTCAAAAGTTCTAGTGTTTTAAATGGAAACCCAGGCATTTAAGATACCTGGAGGCATATACCACACTTGCATGAAAATGTAATCTTGCAGAACTACTATTTATTACTTCTTGTATTTTGTCTTTTTCAAAATGAAGGCTGTTAATAAATTCAATATTTAATAAAGTATTCGGGAAAATGGCCACCTTCTTCCCCATATACCTGTTCATGGCCTGTATCTTCAGTCCTTCCTCAATGCTGTGACTGAGTGCTTGCTGATTATTGTGCTTATTAATTCTGGCTAATACTCTCTCTTGATGAGCTTCGTACTCATCACGACTTGGATAAATTTTGCTGATGAGTGCATCAAAGTTCGGGTCTGGCCTTAGTGATCGTTTGGAAACTAGCTTTTTCCGACATGTAGGACATTCTTTATTGCTAAATAAAAAGAAAGGAAAAACAATGTAAACAATGCCAGTACCTTTAGGCTAAAGACAAAAATATCTAGCTTCTGGAATAGTTACATTATCTTTATTCTAATATCTTTAAGAAGTCATAGCAATTTAAACTGATTAACTTAAACTTTATTAAAAATCTGACTAATCTTGGGTAAGCAAGATTTTTGAAAACCTCAGATACTCTGTACTACTGTCAAAGGAAAAATTTGATTATCACCAATGATAATTTATAGCCACTTTTAGAAATAGAAATCAACTCTTTTCCTAATATTAATTTCCCCTTTCTCATTCCCATGACATACAAGCAAAAAATAATTACCTATATTAATTTATGTTATCAATTCTTTTATTAAAACAATTCATAAGGATATCATTTTGTATACTTAAATAGAAAAACCATGGCTTCATAATTTCCTCAAAACAAAGATACTCTAATAATTCAAACCTAGAGTTTAGAAAATTTCCAATTCTCAAATGAATACTTCTAGAGTATGTACTTCTCAAAACCCATAGAGCACTGTCTTGGTACAGCTGAAGCACCTAGTATAACTCATTTCAACATACCCACTTCTGAGGGCTGTGATAATGCAGTCTGCACAAAAACGGTGCAAACACTCCTTTGTAGTCATGGTGTTCTTCAACATATCCAAACAAATTGGGCACATTAATTCACTGTGTAGACTTCGAGGTGAAACCACAATTTCCAAGCCATCCGTTATTGCCTCCTGTAAAAGAGGAAACTTAAAATTTAAACGCTACCTATATTTTTATTGTGAATGAGTTCAAATACACAAAAGTATTAAGAATGACAAAAATGAACATCTACATACCTATTACCCAGCCACTACCACTGTCAGCTCACAGCCAATCTTGTTTCGGCTATAATGTCCCCCAATTCCTTTCACTGCCTCCACCAATGCGTTATATATAAATGCTTTTATTTTAATGCTAAAGATAATATATTAATGTATCTAAAAGACAACTAGGAGTAAATTATCCTGGTGTAATAAAAAAAGCATTGAATTAGGAATCAGATACCTTAGGTTTTAGTTCTAGCCATATTAACCAGTTATGTGGTTCTAAATAACTATTTGACATCGTTCTTTACCCTGCAAAATGAGCAAGTTTCTTCTGTCTTCAGAATTACACCATTTTGATAATATAGTTCCCCCCTTTTTTTTATCAGTGGCTTCACTTTCTGAGGTTTCAGTTACCTATGGTCAACCACAGTCCGAAATTTTAAATGGAATATTCCAAAAATAAACAACTCAGAGGTTTTAAATTGTGCACTGTTCTGAGTAATGTGATGAGACCTTATGCTGTCCTGCTCCATCCCACTTGGGAGGTGAATCAGCCCTTTGCCCAGCATATCCCCACAGTATACACAAGCTACCCTTACACTGGCGACAGGAGCCTTCTCAGTTATCAGATCAACTGTCTCAGTATCTTGAGCTGTGTTCAAGTAACCTTTATTTTACTTCCTAATGGCCCCAAAGCACAAGAGTAGCGTAGCGATGCTGGCAATTTAGATATGACAGAGAGAAGCCATAAAGTGCTTTCTTTAAATAAAAAGGTGAAAGTTCTCAATAACGATACTAAGATCTATAGTAAGAAGGAATCTTCTAGCCATGAAATTGGCTAAGTTATAAACTAAACTTTACCCTAGGTATGTTTGTATAGGAAAAAAGATGGAATTTAGTGTTTAGTACCATCTGTGGTTTCAGGCATGCACTAGCTGTCCGAGAATGTAATCCCGTGGATAAGAGGGGACTACTGTAAGTTATACATTTCATGCCATCTATTAAAAAGATTTTAAGATTCTAATACAAATATTCTCTAACTGATACACAATTTAACTATTTCATTTTAAAATCACTTTTTTGGAATTTAAAAAGTCTTGATCCACAAAAGAAATTTTACACAAAGTGGTCAGGTTCTCAGGCTAACTGATTTAAACCATAGTATATCTGAAGTATTTTTATTTGTCATGTCTAAAAAATGTGATAAAATGCATTTGGAGTTCCAATGTACACATCTCCCAGCTGCAGAGAGACTAATGACTCCTACTTCTTCCTACCACTATCCACTCTCCCTACAAGGTGGCATTGAGAACAAATTACCTAGCTCAAAAGCCACCAATATGGCCCAGATGGAATAAGAAAAGAGATTCAGTCACTATTGGAAAGGAAGATGCAAGTAAAAATAAGGAGCTTCCCATGTTAGTGACACTCCCTTGTTTCCACTGCCTCTCCATAGTACCTACTTTCACTAAAGGGTCAAAGACTGGTGACCCCACAAGGAAAGACAAAAATAATAGGTACTGCCCATAAAGAACACAAGTAAAATATATTTACATTTACAATAACTATCACTATTATCAAGTGTCTGCATGTTTCAGCCTCGCTATATAAAGCACTTTCTATATTTTATTTTACTTAGTTTTAATACATACACAAACTTCTGATTTAGGAATTATAACCTCTAATGAGGAAATAATCAAAGAGAATGATGATGACTCAGCTAGTAAGTCTGTCCTGTTTAGAAAGAACTTGCCTAACAAAATCCCAACCCTGTTCTCCAGGCCTGTACCTGTGCAGGTAGAGCAGCACTGTGGGGGTAAGACAGGGGAATCTCACAACCAGACAGGTATCACTAAAACTTTCACCAGACTCAAATGGGTGTTCAATACTGCTCAGTAATTGGTTTCTGTAACAAACTCATTTTTCCTTTCACTACACTATTGTACACCTTTTCTTCTATCTGCAGACCTTCTCCACCTGAACATTCAATACATTACCTTACCTCAAATTTCATATCATCTTCTTTCCTATAAGGAGGAAGTATACCTCTTCCTACTGAAAATAAATCCCTTCCTATGTTATTAAGTGTATCACTTGTTTGACTATTCTATCTGCTCTCAGATTTTAGCCAACTTTCCTCCACTAAATCAGCCCAGAGTAGTATCTCCATAGAGTTGCTGCACAGAGAAATGTGCATGATGCACCTGAGAGCTGTCAAGGGTGGAGAGGTGGGGAGGAAAGGGGGATGTTGAACAAGGGAAGTGGAAGGAGTAATTTAAAACTTCCCAATGCTATGTCCTCCTCCAGTGTTTGCTCCATTTCTCTGCTCCACTGCAGAGCCAAACTTTTCTGAAGAATTGCCTATGCATTTTCACTTTTCCCCCCTTCGACATAGCAGCACAATCTATCAAGTGAATCTCTTGAAAAAAATCACCAAATACATATTGCCAAATCTAATGTACACTTTTGTAATGCTCATCTCATTCATCTTCTGAATACTGTTGAAAACAATAACTGAATCCTCCTCCTTAAAACACTTTCTCATAGATTTTATCCCCTCTCTCTCGCTCTTCCTTGCTTTTCCCTGTCTCCTTTGCTGGCTCTTTGTCCATTACTTAATCTCTAAATGTTGAAGCTCCTCTGGAGGAAGATCCGGGCCCTCTCCTCCTCTCTTTCTAGACGATCTTATCTATTCAGTACGCTGTAAATGTGCTGACAATCTCTAAAACTTAACATCTAGTCCAGTTCTCTAGTTAGCATCACTGCCTCTCTTATAGGCATCACCAACTTAAAATGAGATCATTTGTAAGTACGCTTATCTCCTTCAACCCTGCTTCCACTCCCAGTCTTCCCATGTTTACCTTCTGAAAATAGTCTTCCCTACTTCCCCCAGCTATTATTTATTACAGCACTGAGGACTTTTCCTTTACCCAATCTCTCAAGGTATAATTCTATGGATGTTTATCTGTTTAATGTCTATAAACTCTAAGAGCTGGTGCTACATGTTTTATTCACCATTTCACCTAGTGCCTAGCTTAGGACCTGTAGAATATGCACTCAAATTATTTGTTGAATGAATGAATGAAGTGTCAACCAAATATACACAAGTCAGTACTACTTATATATCAATTTATTATTACTGTTAAGTTCTTTCAAGTTTTCATTTTCTAAAAATGTATCCCAATTTACACATGTATCATATTTCCTCTGTTATCTTAGTCTACATTACCTGAGGTGTTCGTTGTAATTCATATAAACTGAGTTCCCATGTTTTGCTTAATGGTTGAGTTCCATTTGTCTGCACAGCCTGAGACATTGCTAGGGATAAAAAAGAAAGAAAAAACAATTTTAGTATCTGAAAGGGAAATAAATCTCAAAAGTGATTTTTAAGAATTGTAAATCCTGAGGATAATAAAAATAAAAATTATACACTGGCTCCTCAAAAATTAAAAAAAAAAAGCTCAAGAATCTCTCCATTTATATTACAAACTACTAGAAAGCGAGAGACTAACTGATCTCTGAATGCCCAAAATAGACACACAGAAAGTACTTAATTATTACTGAAGGTATACAAAACAGTCTTAACCAAAACAATACTTTTTTTAAAAGTCATGGTCATGAAACTTAGAACTAAATCAGGAAAATTTGAGACTCTACAGCATGGCCTCTAGTCCAACTTTTATCAAAGATACAAAAGCTGCTTTCTAGCACTTTAAGCCACTGGTCACTCTGTTCTTAAGCTCTGCCCTCAGGAAAAACTGGTTAACCAGAACCTAACCTGCCAGAGTATTATCCAGAACCTCACTGACCTGGGGAAGGAAAATACACAACTCTTGCGCATTCTAGCCATCCTATCCCCACCTATTGGGGAGACAGGGAGGGAAAAAACTAAGAACCAAAAATTGACAGCATTATTTGTAATATCAAAAAAAAAGTCTATGCATGCGTGTCAATAAGAATATAGCATATATATATATATATATATATACACACACACACACGCATATATATATATGAGCTGTATGTCTGACATGGAGTTCAACAGATGTACACAACAAACATTAAATTTTTTTAAAAAGCTAGTTATAGAGCAAAATGTTTATCATGCCTGTTTTAGAAATTAAAACAGAATCCAAACACCTAAAGATGCTTGTGATTCTGAGTTCTGTTCACCATCTGTCAGCCACATCTGTCATTCTTCTCTTTATCAATCTTGCTCATTTTCATTTTACAACCTTCACTAGCTCATCCTTCTATCTGTAACAGAAGGCTCTTTTCCCCAAAGATTTTCCCATAGCTAGCTCCTTCATGAAGTCTAACAAAATTCTTACTTTGCCATTCTTTCATGTCTTTCTTCCCCCCCGCTCCCCTTACCCTCCCACTATGGCACTTTCATCTATCTTATTCTCCACAATATCCCCATTACCTTGCACTGTGCCTGGCACACAACAGCTATTTAAAACAATACTTTTTTTAAAAGTCATGGTCATGGAACTTAGAACTAAATCAGGAAAATTTGAGACTCTACAGCATGGCCTCTAGTCCAACTTTTATCAAAGATACAAAAGCTGCTTTCTAGCACTTTAAGCCACTGGTCACTCTGTTCTTAAGCTCTGCCCTCAGGAAAAACTGGTTAACCAGAACCTAACCTGCCAGGGTATTTATTGCTGAAAACCTCAACAACGGTTATGATTGAAAGAAAGGAGCTCAAGTTAGACAATCGTAACAGTGTTTGACCTGTTCATGACTAAAAAAGTGTCACTTCAAATTATCATGGGAAAGGGAAGACAAAAGGAAGATTTATCAATTTCTATACATAGAGAAAGTATTTTTGTGTTTCTGCATGGTTAGGGCCCGAAGCAAAACAACAGACACAGAAAAACACTTGTCCTTCAGACAAGTCTTAAAACACAAAGGTAACTGAATAGATAAGAGATTTATCTTTCTAGACATATGCTTTTATATTTCAGGAGGGATGAGAGTATGGAGACATCCCAGGGGCCTTAAAGTTTAAGACCTCTCTGATATACACCCGGCCCAGAAAAGCTCATTTACATGCTAAAGATTGTATCCTCCTTTTCAACTAAGGAGAATTTGTTTCCATTAGGGAGCAAGGATTTCTTTTCCTTTCTCAGGAGATGAGGTAACAACTACACAAGCTCCCAGATTCATATTTTTAGGCTCTTCGCCTACCAAATGAACATCTAGCTCAGAGGTCCTCAAACTTTTTAAACAGGGGGCCAGTTCACTGTCCCTCAGACATTCCACATGCACACTGCGGGCCCGGGACCAGTAGGCTGCTAGGCAGGACAGGCAGCGGCGGCAAAAACACCAGGCGGGCCGGATAAATGTTTTTGGCTGGCTGCATGTGGCCCGTGGGCCTAGTTTGAGGACTAGCTCTTACTGCATAGCTTTCGGGGTGACGGGGGGTGGGGAGAAGAACTCAGGCAAAGGGGAACTGATGCAGTTATTGCTGTAATAATAATCTGTCCATCCTTGTCCCTGAAATTTTGTGTCTACTTCCAGGATAATATGAATAAATATAGCTTTTAAATATTTATCATTCTACCATACAGAATTTGGTTCCTAAAACTACCCTATAATTTAGGCTTTAAGAAGACTAACAATTTTTTTTGAAAATGAATACAGGACAAAAGTACACTAAGTTCCCACATACCATCTTTGAAGGGATTAAGATAATATATATAGACCAGGCAGACTGTTCTCTGATCATCAAGAATATTGGGGTAAAGTGTAGAGAACCCTATATGGCCTTTATCCTTTGGTCAGACTAGGCAAACTAGGGAACAATGATAAACTCTGAGTAAGCAATTCAACTGCCATCATAGCATTGCCTGCAGCATCACCTCATGAAAACCACTTGCAGCAGTTTGTAATCTAAAGTGACAACTGTCAGACACTAATTTCTGTAAGACAAAGTGTTCTTTACTGAAAGTTGTCATTGTACTAAACAACTGGAATATTCATCTAAATTATTTTTGCTAACCTAATAGTTTCTTTATTTAAAAATATAATCAACTCCTAATTGGATTGTGTGTTTTTCCACATCATGGAACACAGAGCAGAAACATTTCAAAGGTGAATTACAGAGCTTCATTATCCAGTCTTAATTAAGTTTTTGAGTACTGGTAACAGACTTAATGTTTTTTAACCCCCACCCATCTTCTGTCCCTGTCTACCCATATTAGAAGCTAACAGACCCACAATGACAACCAATTGAGTAGGAAACATTTATTGAGAGCTACTGTGTGATAGGAAATGAGACCCTGCAAGAGTTTATTGGCTAGTGGGCCCTGAACCATGTTTTCCATACAATCTGTAGATGCTACAAAAGCACAAAGTAGCAGTCACATGGAGGAAAAGTCAGAAAAGGGCTTCCTAGAGAAAGAGACTCCTCCCTTGGAAGAGGAGAGTTTAAGGTTAAGTTAACCAACTAAGGAAAGGCAAGCAGTCCAGAAGGACCAACATAATAAGCAAAGGCACAACTCAATATGGGGTGTTTATGAAACTCCAAGTAGTTCACTACTAAATAGTGAAATGTGAGAAGCTGAAATAAGTGAAGCCATTTAAAAATGGAGCCAGAGAAGCCATTCCAGAGGAAGTACTTTGTATGCCTTGGGCCTTGAACCTTTGGAATATTTGAACTGGGCAAAATAAGCTTTGGACTGGGCAAAACCAACAATGTATTACAAACAACCATTTGCAAAGCCAACAGAAAAGCAGACATTCTGAACACAAACACTGATGATTATGGATTCTTTCTGAAGACAGAATCAGTTACCAGCCATGTATAGCTAAAATATTAACTCAGTTTGTTGACACCAATAGAAATTTCTTTCTTCTATTCATGTAATTATTCCTTCCTTTTCTAATAAAAATCCCTTGTGCTCACCCTGTAATTAGGACATATTTTAGATTTCTGCCTGAATCAGTATTTCCAGAATTGCAATTCTTTTGACCCCAAGTAAATACTTGTTGCCTCTCATTTTTGGATTTTATTTTTAGCTTAACAGAAAAGAGGCTGAAGAATTAAATGGTGGACCAGATTAGGGAGGCCTACTATGCCTTGCAAAAGTGTTGGGAAAAATCCACAGTGGAATGACAAAAAATCAGATTTACATTTGAAACACACAAATCAATTCCAGCAGCAGTGAAGGATGGACCTGTGGAAGCAAAATTTAGTTAAAGAACTGTAAAATAATCAAAATGAAAAAGTGCCTACATTTTTATAATAAGTATGAATTAGAAGGGGCAGAGCTGAAAAACTCTTGGGAGCTGCCAAGCTTGTTGCCGTCTAGTAATCAGTACTAAAAAAAAAAAAAAAAAAAAAAGAAGAAAAAAAAATCTAAAGTGAGATAGCAAAATATATTTTTAAAAATTTCTATATATTTTCAAACAGGAAATGGTATGCATGTTCTAGAAAGGTATAAGAAGCCGGAGTCCCCAAGTCCCGGGGTGGGGGAGTGGGGGTGGGGTTACTAGGGTGGCCGCTGAGAGCAGGCAGCGTGAGAGGCCTGGCAGAATGCTTGCTTCATTGCCGCAGCAACGAGGCAAGCGTTCCCCCCAGGCCACAGAGGGCCTCTGGGCAGTGGGCATGAAGCAGCCAGGCCCCGCAGAGAGCTACTGGCACACAGATTCGTGTGCGGGGCTACTAGTCCTATATAATAAAAGGCTAATATGCAAATAGACTGAATGGCGGAATGACTGGTTGCTATGACGCGCACTGACCAAGGGGCAGACGCTCAACATAGGAGCTGCCCCCTGGTGGTCAATGCAATGCGCTCCCACAGGGGGAGCACCACTCAGCCAGAAGCCAGGCTCATGCTGGCGAGCGCAGCAGCGATGGAGAGATCCTCTCCTACCTCTGCAGGAGCACTAAGGATGTCCGACTGACAGCCGTGAGGAGCAGGTCTAAGCTGTCAGTCGGACATCCCCCGAGGGCTCCTGGACTGCAAGAGGGCACAGGCCAGGCTGGGGGAACACCCTCCCCCACCCAGTGCACAAATTTTGTGCACCAAGCCTCTAGTGTGGAATATAATGAACAACATAAACTGATGAAATAAAACAGATCCAGAGACACAGAAGCATCGAACAGACCATCCAACCTGTGTGGGGTAGGGGGGAGAGATCAACCAAAGGACTTGTATGCATGCATATAAGCATAACCCATGGACAGAGTCAGTAGAGCAGTGAGAGCATGTGCAGGGGGGAGAGGGGGCAGCAGGGACCAGTGGGGAGAAGTCAATGGGGGAAAAAGGATTCATATGTAAATACTTTAAACAACAAAGAATTTTAAA